ATGGAATATTTTACTTATTTTATTTATTTTCTATTCTGCATAGAACAGAATACACATGTTGTTTAGGTGTAATACATTAACGTTGTTGCTGTTTTAACTGTTATGTTCTAGAAATATTGAAACATACGCAACTATTACGGAATTAACCACCATTACGCATCTTACATTTATCTATACGCTTGTTCTAATATTAACAATTCCTAGTTTAATAAAGAATTCCTAGCCTAATGGAACAATAATTGATGAATAAAAACTGAATGTCGTTTCAGAGCTGGTCCGTACTATTTAATGACCATGACCAAGTATTATTTATACAGATGTTATTAAAGGTTAATAGATTAAGAATGTTTTGGAGAGTTTCATGCATCAAATCAGGCTTTATACAACAATTTATTTATATTCATAAGTTATATTTAATCTGGATACATCGAACACATCTGTATGCATACAATTAAAGCTTTTAATATATTGTCCTCCTACACGATAAAATCATTTATTGGTTCTTTTGTATGGAAATACCTTAACATGTACTTAATTGATGAATTGATTAAAATACATCGTCTGAAAATGGCATAATCTCCCAATACCATAGTTAGTTATTAATATTAACATGTATAATTGAGCAATTATTTTTGTTCTGTTGAACAATCATTACCATTGCCCATTAATTCATTACCATTTGCCCATTAAATCATTACCATTGCCCATTAATTAAAAAGACGGACTACTGTCGTTGTGATCACTATACAAATTCTAAGTGCACCGAATCAGCATTTTCGATGTATTTGTGTTTTTCCTTCTCGAAAAAATCCACCACGTGCTCGATAAATTTCCCATGATATTCGTCAATCTGCTCTACGGTTGGTTCTTCTATCTTGGGTAAATCCATCGGACTACCGACTAGAAAATGAGAAAACTCACTAAATGCTTGCGATTTTCCTACCGCGAAATGGAAACGTTCAAATACAGCAGGTTTTCTACTATAAATTGATTGGTGACAAGTTCCAAAATTCTCATTTATTTTGCTACGAATTTTGCTACTCATCACAATGAGAAGTATCGTGCAATAAAGGAAAAATTGTTAAAGTTTTAATAATTTGACTTCAATTACTACAAATATCTATACTATTTCGACAAACTACACTATTTGTGCCTTAATTAGTTCATTAGTTATTGATCTTTGGAATACTTACCAACGACAGTGACTGGTGTTCGCCGTGGAATGAAACTGAAACAGTATTTGAATAATCCTCGTCCCAGCAGATAAACCGGGGGCACACCGACTTTTTTACGGATGAAATCCTGGAGCTTTTTCATAAACGAGCCTTCCGGAAAGGTCAGTTGGTCATACAGATTCGTTTCTCCGAACGAACATACAGGTACAATGGGAACGCTAAAACAAACGACTTCTGTTGCAAAGACATTACAACACTAATGACGTTTCATCATTAAAGTGGAATGCGGATTTCTACGTATTTCTACGAGAAATATATGTATTACAATTATTTTAAATGAAAATATAGAGTATATTAGTTTAAATTATTTTAAATGAAAATTAGAGTATATTATAGAGTATATATAGAGTATATTATATACCTTGCTTTAAATATTTTGAACACATTTGCAATTTTCCTAGGGAGAATGGAATTATAAATGCACGAAATACATGAAACGCATGAAAATGGATAAATGCATAAAAATTGATGGTGACGTAAAAAGTGACCACAAAAATTTGTACAATGATTATAATTTTAGTACGATTGTTTTACCAAATTCTCTGTACGTTGCACATTTTATCATTGATATCTATCATGTAAAACATATAATACTACGTTAGATATTCCAATCAAGCGACGAATTCAGTCAATTGCTATTGACACAATTAACACGGATTATTTGGCATTGTTTCTTATTATAAATTATACTGTGAACTTGATTATAGTGATTTCAAAAAGTGAAAGATTAACTAATTAAAAGGACTTTTTTCTTATTTCATATTCTCACGAGCTTGTGATCCGATCGACTCAATCAACAGAAATAGTAACAATTCTTACCCATTTTTCAGCGCCAGCTTTACGAACCCTTTTCTCCTTTTCATTACGATACGATAAGTGTTCGGCTTGGATTCCGTCACTTCTGCTGCTCCACCGACGATCAAAACTGTCGCTCTTCCGGTGTATGGAGCCTGAGGTTTCGTCGATAATAACTGATTCAGGCTTTCTGGACTGCTACTGGCATAGGCTGCAATTGGATCATAGTTAAACGTGTTGAGTTAATGAAATACCCAAAAAATAGAATGATCGTATGCTTGGAGAAGCCGAGATAACTAGAAAGAAATCTGTAGATTGAGGAGGAATCTGTTGACTCACAGATTTATTATATTGCTAATAGCAACAATTAACGTATTACGTAATAGATTCAATAAATTATTCTATCGTTCCTCCGAAGAAAAATACTTTAATTACAAAATTATCCGTAAATAGGTTGTAAAGGCAAAATCTTACATGGTTGATTCGACAAATTCTTACGTTAGGTTGACTCGTAAAACTCAATATTCAGCAATGAAAGTAGTTTCTCTGGTTACTGAACGTTGCGAAACTACCATGCTGATGACTCCTTCTTTTTCAGGGTTAGATTTTCAAATGACATTTTATTATTTATTATATTTGTGTATGTAGAAATACGTATGTCTTATGTTTAAATATAATCGTGTGCCTGAACACGGCCATACTACCCACTACGTGTGTTATGTAGTTAAGTAAGAAATATTTATTTGAATTTCGAATCGACGCTGGATTAGCTACGTGGTGCAAATATAATGTGACACTGATATTTACGTACCTATGTAGATCACACATTATATTATCACTACACTGATAAAATTATGTTATCACTGCATCATTTTAGCAAGAAATACAGTTCCATTATTTGGCTTTCATATGAAGAATAAATCTATGTAATAATCATAGATCGCGAAGGATTTATAAGGATCCCGTCATGAGCAAAGTCATATTCAGAGCGTAAACGATCAATATTACATCTTAATGAATTGAATAGCAACTAATAATTATATTGTTATAGTATAATTAATAGAGTATATAGTATAATAGAGTAATATAGTATAATTATAGAATATAGAATTATAGAATAATTATAGAATAGTATACATATGCACGAATAATTTTATTCAAGATGATTGGATAATACGTACAATTGACGCGGCAGTATTCTCTGAAAAACGGTGTCTTGAAATGTTGATCCAATATCACTATACTACTGTCGATACTTGGAAATAATTCCTTGTAACCGGCGGCATCTGTACCAAAGGCAACAGAAACTCCTGTACATAAAATCCCATGTGGAAAACTGCACAATAAATATAACTTGTTCGGGTCCAAATCGGTGGTTTTCACTAGTTTTACAGGAAAATAGTTGCAGATGTATTGGTGTATTGCAGAGGATCTGAGCCACTGTTTGAATTGTGCCCTGTGAACGTGGAAATTCAACTGGCTAAGCAAAAATTACGTGATTTATATAAATTATACTGTTAGATCATTTATTCGGTTAATGTATACGTAATATGTTTTGATTAAAATTAAATCTGAATTGCGTACGAAATGTTTTATATTGAATTTAGGTATATATTACCTAATGGATTCATGAATTTTACAAGTTTATTTGGAATTTTGAATATTCATGCATTCGTGCAGTATGCTAATGTATCTGTATATTGTAATATGAATCATGAATTTAATACAATCTCGTTTAAAGGAATCCCAATTCACATTCTGACAAACAAAAATATTATAATTGTAACACTTTGACGTGTAAATAGAACTGATTAACTTTTCCCTACTATAAGAAGATTGTACTACGAGCAATGTATTTATTGAATTTTATTAATTCGAAATTTATTATTATTTAAATCTAACAGGAACTATATCTTTTAGCAAGCGATAGTGGCGTTCAGCAAGACTTCATATACTTTTTGTTGTGGAATTAAAGGAAAGTTAAGTGAAACGTTCAATTTCGAATGAAAGTGCATAGAATTCACTCCTAACGTAATTATATTCATATCCCTGACAAGGAACATTAACAATTGTAAAAATTGAAAATTCTCCGTTCTCCTATCGAACTATTGAATTATACGTACTAGGATAATGATTGATATGTAATTTTTGAATAGCATATATGATATTTTTTATTGATTACAACTACCTTATACCGCTGACTGGAGAATTATCAGAGTAGTACATCCAGATGAAGTAGAGGAATACAAAGTAGCGCAAAATCTTCGTATAAATGATGAGATATATTGCGAGAATATATTTTGCAAAATATCCTATACCGATCACAAGAAAGAGTATGGAGAAGTACAGAGTAACTGTAAGTGTTTCCAATTTTCGCTTTAATGGAACGTTCAGCGGCGCGAATTTTATCCCAAAAATCTCCATCGTTTTCTTCCGTGTTCTTCGTTTTCTTGTTTTTTTTTTTTTTCTTACGGTAAGATCAGTTCAATGATTTTTGGTCAATAGTTGTTGAACTGGTTAACAATTAGACTGCGAAATTTTATACAAATTCCTACGCTGTTTGAAAACAGTTGAAATGTACCACTTAGATACATAAATCACTGTATGAATATCGGTAAAGGTATAAAAAAAAATTTGTCACTCTTCGCCGTCAACTAATAAATTTTTGCTCTCGTACGACATAATATGGTTTAATATTTAATTTTCTATTATTTTAATAATTTTCTGTTTTACTGTTTTGCCATTCATTGTTTTCACGAACTAGAGATTTCGTTACTCTTTTCTATCGTTTCTTCCTTTTTCCTTTTGTAGAACTGAACGGTGGAAGTAGGTAATTGAGGAATATACATGTACACTGTTCCTTAACACATCTTTTCTTCCTTAAACCGTGAAATAGCCGAATTCGGTTCACAGAGTTCTCAGTTTTCAGTTTCGGTGCAATTTTTATTTAGTGAGAATTCGTTTTCAATTTCAGGGCTTCACAGCGGGAAAGACACTTTCAAGACAAGCAATACGAAACAAGTAAGAAAATAGGTACTTGTAATCATTATATATGTAAACTATATTGTAATCATTATATATGTAAATTATCGCATCCTTGCCAGAAGTAAGTACGCTTTTTCTAAGTAAGAAAAAATTG